AGGATTGGAGGTGACAAAAACGTCACCTTCAGTTTGGCTATGGGTGGTTTACCAATTTTGAGCCCTCGCTTTCAGGCTTGCCTTGGCTCCTTATGTGTTTTGTCACATAGTCTGGGCTTTTGCACATCATCTTGATTCTCTGGGTATGTAATTTCATTATTACAGGGATAATTGGCTTATTCCAAACAGGAATTGGCCACTCAAACTTACCAACTCTTTTCTGTGGTGGCTCGGGCGGGCTGGATCAAATTGGAGAAGTCAATCCTTTGACCCACTCAATATGTAGTCCATTTGGGGGTATTTTTGATACGAATATCAGTCGCACTTTGCCTTCTCCCTTATGTCTTCATTTAGTGGAACTTTTGGTTCACCATGCCCTCACAGCTCAGTCACTTACTGCTCATGGGGTTCTATCACTTTTGGAGATGTGGTCCTCCATGACTGCACTGGTCCCTCATGGTCATGCCAATATGGGGTCCCTTGAGTGGATGCCTCACAAATGATGGAACCTTGCTCAGGATCCTCTTTCCACCCCCACCCCGGCTAGACAAAGCCCATACATTGGTGGGCATGCTGCTTCCTCCCCGTGTCTGGATCGACATCTTTTCACAGATGCACCTCTTCATGGATGGGGGCATGAGTCAATCAATAGGAGGCTTTGGCCATTGGTCTGTGGACAAAACCATCTTACATATCAATGTTCTTGAACTTCTAGCAGTTGCATCAATTCCTTCTCGCCCGTCATTGTCTGGTGATGGTTCAATTGGACAGTTCTCCGGTGGTGGCACATATCAAACACCAATGGTGCACCCGGTCCAGAGATTTATGTTTTCAGATGTTGGATCTATTATAGTGGGCCCACCAATATCATATTCGCCTTATAGCATGTCATGTGCCAAGTACTTTCAATTTAGTCACAGATCATCATTTGTGTCCTGATATATCCAATGGAGTGGGCATTAGATCCACTCATTTTCAGGGATCTTTGCCATCGAGGGGGTTCTCCCCACCAGGATGTCTTTGCCACAGGCCACAATACCAATTTGCCCCTTTTTTGGTCACCTGTACCACATCCACAGGCTTTGGGAGTCGATACCTTCAGCCAGGATTGGTCACACAAATATCTTTGTGTACCCTCCCATCCAATTGCTTCATTGGATGATTTCTCATTTCCACTCCACTCGTTGTTGGGTCCTCCTGATTGCTTCCTATTGGCCAGCTTAACCTTGGTTTCCAAGGTTACAGTTTCTGCTCCTATCACCACCTGTCCCTCTTCCATTTTCCCCCTCCCTTCTTTGTCAACCTCGATCCCACATTCTACATTCAAATCTCCACATCCTGTGTCTTCATGCCTGGCTTTTGTTCAGTCCTTGGTAAGTCAATTCGATTTCACATGTTGAGTTACTTCTTTGTGAGCTAGTTCCATATGGCCATTTTCCATGAAAGTATATCAATGAAAGTGGAATGTCTTCTGCTGTTGGCCTGCTAACAGAGAGTTTCCTGCAGACAAGCCTTATGTGGCTCGTGTAGTGGAATTGCTCAGCTGGATCTTTGACCATGAGTCTTTGGTCTCCTCACTTTCTGGATATTGAGTGGCCCTATCCCATACCATCTATTTTTCCCAACACCATCAGGTTTTTACTTTCCCTGTTCCTTCTGTGCTCATGCATTCCATCTGGATATGTCGACCTGCCAGGCATCCTACCCTTCCCAATTGGGACATTAATGTCATCCTCCATGCTGTTACTTCACCTTTGTTTGAACCACTTTCTTCATATTCCTTGTTTCATCTGTCTTTTAAAACATTTTCTTCGTCTCTTAGCTTGTGGACATTGATGATCAGATTTGTTTGCAATTGACATTTCATGTACCCTTTATCACCCTACCTATCTTCTGCTTTATTCCAATCATTCCTTTCTCCCTAAGACCTCAGCAGCTTGGGAGGATTGTTCATCCTTTACTCCTATTTTCCTTACTTCTATATTCCATGTTTACCCTCGCCTAAATATGGATAGGCTTCTGTGTCCAGTCAGGGTCCTTCATTGTTATGTAGCATGTACTGCTACCTTTCTGGGTATGCACAACTGACTTTTTATTCTATGGCAATCCTCCTCCTTTCACAGTCTTTCACCTTTTACCCTTACTAACTGGGTCTGCCAATCAGATCCAACATCTCACTTTTTCCATCACTTCTCATCTTAGTCGTCTGATATAGGAGATGCTACAGTCCAGCATGTGGACCACATCCACTATCTTATTGTGGTTTGCTATTTGTCTGGGTTTTGTCTACCACCTGTGGATGTTCTCCAGACTTTGGTGTGACTTTAACTGGTAAGTTTTATTCATTCTTTTTTGGGTGGGGCTTTATCTCCCTTTTTATCACATGGATCCCGCTCTGTGGCAAGCGGTGCCTGACCAGGTATTCTTTAACTCTATATCTGCACTGTACAGCCATGCTTTATTTTCCATGGCTTTGCACGCTCACTGGTGAGACGGGGTGATCCACAAGATTGATTGATGGTGAATAACCTTGTGATATTTGCTTCATAAAGATGCCTGTCCCAGACCATACCAGCCATGTACTGCATGGGTAAAGCAGTAGGGGATTCCTGTCCATCCCTGCCATGCCTTGAGTGAATAACTCTGTATGGTCTGCTTTTCAGAAATGATTTTGTGGTCATCCATTGCACCATCTCTGGTGATGACTTTCCTCCAGACTCTCTATCGCATTGTCATCCTTTCTTCGAGTGGAGTATGAGAGTCCTTACCACTTTCTAGTTCCAAGCCGCTGGAACGGTTAACCATGGAGGCACCCTCCTGAATGAGTTCCACAAAGAAAGGGCTAGAACCATTCAGTCGAGAGTAGGGCAGTGGTGTTCTGCTGGTGTAGATGAGATGTGGTCTCCAGAGGAGTTGAGTCATCACCATACTGGATGACGTGGCCTCTTGACACCATTTACACAACAACCAAAGTTGACCCATCACCTTACTGCATGATGTGGCCTCCAGAGGAGTTGAGCTGTCACCATACTGGATGACCTGGTCTCCTGACACCATTTACACAACCACTGGAGTTGAGCCATCAAAATTGCAGTTCACTCCTTTGATTGGGAGATCTCATCCTACCCTTGCATTAATGTCAGCACCCCACAAATAGGTTTCGGATTAGAGTGAACCAATCACCATAAGTCCTCACATGAGTTTGGGTTGTCTATATTCATCCCCCAATTACCCTGCCTGTGTTGTTGGTCACAGCAGTGCTACATGGGATTGTTACAGCTCAATCCTTGAGTATCCTTTTTTCTCTACTTATGGGGATGTTATTGCCTTTGGATGGTGCCGGCTTGTGCCATGTTTGGGGGAGTTGATTCCATGCAATAGACATCCTTTCAATACTGGAGGTCAATTCTCTGATCGATAGATAAGATCATGGAGGCACCCTTTTGAATGGGTTCAACAAAAAGATGGCTATAACCATTCAGTTGAGAGTAGGGCTGTGGTATTCTGCTGATGTAGATGAGATATGGCCCCCAGAGGAGTTGAGCCATCACCTTGCTGGATGACGTGGCCTCCTGATACACATTTACACAACCACTGGAGTTGATCCATGGAAAATGCAGTTCACCCCTTCAATTGGGAGACCTCATCCTACCACCTTGTGGATGTCGGTACCTCGTGGCCTGGTGTTGGATTTAGAGTGAACCAATCAACATAAGTCTTCACACATGTTTATGGTTGTCTATGTTCCTCCCTCAATCAAACTCTTTGTATTGTGGGTCACAGCTGAGGAAGGTGGACTGTTATGGGTCTCTTCCTTAGCCATCCCTCGATATATTTTATCCGAGGATGTTCCGACTTTTGGATGGTTGTGGTTCGTTTCCCTGTCATGGGAGTTTTCTTATATAGACATCCTTTCAATACTGGATGTTGGGTTCCTGGATCAATCTATCAAACATTACTACATGTGCCATGTTTAGGTATCGGAGTGGTTATCGATTTCCTCCGATCTCTTGAACTTGAGGTGAAGATGGTATGATCCTCATCCTATCACCATGTGCATGTCAGTTTCCAGCAGTGAGGGTTTTGGACATAGTTGACATACCCACATGGTCTGTCACATCCTAGCCACTTTACATCTAGGGGCACATTCATTGTTTACAAACTTTTGTATGGTGATATTGATTTCAATATCGTATCTAGCCAGAATTCTCTCCCACTTGGATGTGCTCCTCTACCGTTCTGCCCATATCTCATATGTATTTTGTGTATGGGTGAAGAGTATACCTGATTCAGAAGTGGTACGGTTCCTCTCCTCAGTTCTTTGCGTTTGACTTTCTCATTTCCAAGAGTTTCCTTCAGATGCTTTTGAAGAGTGCTTCTGTCATTCCCTTGCACTGGTCCCTCCTCCTATTCAATGTTGGATTCTAGCTAATCTTGTGAGTAGAGGGAATTACTGTATCAGAAGTTATAATTTTCCTATACTGAAAATGTATTTCAGATAGATATTTCCCTCTTCTCACACTTCCCACCCTTCCTCCCCATTAAAAACTGTTGTTTCCATCTTCTGCCAAACTCGAAGTAATACTTTGGTGGAAAAGTATACAGTCACATGCGTCACGTGACTATGTCACACTCCATTGATGGAAAAGTGATGCATTATGATTTGCATGAGAGACATGTTGGAATAATTAGACTTCAATAGGGGGGAGCAGAAGACTTGTGGCATGCGTTCCAAAAAGGTTTGCATATAGAGGGCAGCACTGAAAGAGAATAGCTAATATTGTGAATGGAGGTAAGTAGCTATCGGAAATACATTTTCAGTGTAGGAAAATTATAACTTTTATTTCTTGCAAATTTTTAATGTTGTTGAGAATTAAATTTTTGTTGTCTATTATCATTAGTTTCTAAATACTGGATAAGTAAATGTATATGCATTATGTATACTGGCTTTTTATGAACATTTAATATACTTATACGGATTCACATCAATTCTTGTGTAGCTCCTCCAATGTTTATTCGTAAAATGAAATGTGTCGAGTCAGAAGAAGATGAAGCTGTTACCTTCAATGTGAAAATCTCTGGAAATCCCAAACCAAAAGCTAAATGGTATATTTCTTCTTTTTTAGTATTAATTTTGAGAGTTGTCATAAGGGTGTCATAGAAAATGTATTTTTGCAGTACGTAGTGTAGACATATATATATTCAAAACTTTTAGAAATAATCATCTTAACAAGTACTGTAATAAGATATACATGGTTTTATGTTCACTGGCTGTTATAAATGATTATATCAGACATTTTCAAAAGTTAAAACTACAAAAAGGCCAAACTTATTTTTTTTTAGAATATTTAAGTTTGTTACTTTAATTGTATTTGTTAAATGATTAAAATTGTTGTTTGACATTAAATAGTTTGTTAGAAAATGTGTACTTCAACAACATTTTACTAAATTTAGTTTAACATATTATAGTAATAATGTTCATTCTTCAATGTCAATGCAGTGAAACAACTTCACTGTTTGTTACACTAGTAATGTTGAATATTATATCACTTCAGCAATTCATATTGAGCTTTAATTAGAACATTGTACGGTAGTTTATGTTGAATATTAGAACATTCCAGTAACCAATATGTGTCCAACAGTATGACACTAAAATAGTACACTTAAAAAGTTATAACATTATGTTGTGAGCACATTTAAACTATCTTAATTTTACCTTTCTTGACCCATTAAAGAAAATTTCTGTGTGTAGGTTATTGTTTCTTAATAAAGTGAAAGCAAGTTTTAAATTATTTGTATTACATTGATGCTATTTGATATGATTTTAACATTATTTTAATAAACAATTCTGGTGTTTCCTTATCTAAGAGCCTTCTCCCACCAGTGGCTCAGTGGAAAGACTGAAGACTTATAATGCTAAAAACTGGGTTTCAATACCTATGGTTGGCAAAGATAATACATATAGCAAAAAACAAACAAACTTTATCTAAGATGAATGCTTATAGCTTTGATCTGCAGTTTTAGCATGCTAGCTAGCTTTATAAGATATTTCTGGTGCGCTGTAACTATTTGTGTGCATGGATCACTGACCACTTGTGCAGGCAGAGCTGTTTTATCCAATGAGTAAAAGGGGCAGTTGCCCTGGGCCCACTACCATCAGGGGCTCACCACACATTGCAAGTATAATAATAGATAGTATAATAGATTTGAAGTATATAATAATAATAATAATGAACCAGTTTTTTTTTAGAATTATGTATTTTTCTTTAATTTTTTTATATTTAATAAATTCAGTTTATCAAATTGTATGGTACTTTCTTAGAAGCAGGGGTAAGCATGGGGGGGGGGGGCACAAGTTTATACTTTGCCCAGGGCCTACCAGTAGCTTAACATAGCACTGTGTGCAGGTAGTGTGGAAGCTGGAAATTCTAGCTAGTTCTTTGTGGGATATATAAGTAAGTATAAAAGTAAATTTGTAATTTTGAAAACAGATAAAATACAGACCGATTAGAATGCAGTAACAATACTTCATCAAATAATAATAATTTCAGGTGAATACTTATGTTGTAGTTTGCTCCATCTTGTGTCTACAACTGCCAATAATAGTTTTCTACATAGAGAAAATAATTTTATGAACTGTCTAATCTTGTTTGGACATACTCAATGCTCCTTTAAACCTCAACTTCTTAACTTTAAGTACTAAACAAAGATACCTGAATGAGAATTTCTAATGATAAAGGGAACTTCAATAAAGGTTAAGTTATAGCCTTTATGTCATATCTTGACATGTTTAATATTATAAAAATGCAAAACAAAAAATCATGGCCTACTAAATTGTTCTTATGACAACTGTTTGATAAATGTATATTAATAATAAAACAGTGTCTTATGTTAAAAAATTGGAATTTATATGTTCCTTTTAAAAAACTGTTGAGAATTAATTCTTTGGTAAAAGACATTGAAATAACTGAATTAGACTGATAAAAGACTGAAAAAAACCATAATATTCACTTACCATAGTAAAATGATTTCAGTTCACTTTAAATTTAATAATTAGATTTAATTGATATCATTGGAAAATCTAAAAATTACATGCATTTATGCATGCTAACATTGAACATGTGTCACTGATGTCTAAATTTTTAAACAATTTTTGTAATCTTTTACTAGAAAAACTAAGTTTTGTGGTATTATTACTATTTTACATTTATAGAATTATAAAGTAATTGACCTTTAAAGTTCGTTCTTTGTCCCTTATTTCCTACTGACTGGTGGCTGTAGAACGCTTTAGGTTGTTCTTAAGTTATATGGAATTTCAACTATGCAGCTGCTGAACAGGTATAAGTATCCAACTAAACTGAATATTCAACAAAATGACTGAGGAGGCTAGTTTCTGAATACTGATTGAATATCTGTTATAACTAAAATGTAGGGTAAGGGTATTACAACAAATACTCAATGATGTTTCTCTGTTATATTGATACACCCGTGTTTTTTCCCCTCTCTCTCTCATATCATCATCATAAAATAGTGGGCATTCTTCAAATGAGACTCCACGTGTTTCTTCCCCTCTCTCTCACATCATCATCATAAAATAGTGGGCATTCTTCATATGAGACTCCACGTGAACATGAAACCCTCCAAGGATACCAACAGTAAATTTAAAAATTATGGCCTGAATACATGGATCAATAAAGCCCAACAATGTCTCCACAGAATTTCTTTGCATGTTAAAGGCAGACAACATGTTGTTACATTTTTGAAAAAAAGCTACATGAGGGCCATGTCCTTAATTTGGAAGTGACAGAGTACAGTAAAAGCAGACAGTCAATGCCACTAACCACCAACTGTTGGGCAACTGTAGTTGAGTTAGACCATTACTCTTATGCCACTAACCACCAACTGTTGGGCAACTGTAGTTGAGTTAGACCATTACTCTTATGCCACTAACCACCAACTGTTGGGCAACTGTAGTTGAGTTAGACCATTAACAAGATAATCTGACTTATGGCAAAAAAGTCTGTGTAAAATATCCTAATGCATGTACAATACATTATATGGAAAGTAGGAGAGTGTAGAATCATGCATGGCATCAAGAACATTCAGGAGTCACATGGTTGTTGACATCATGAGAATTATACAACAAGGAAAGGCCTTTACTATTTCAGAGGTAAGTCTACCTGATTTGAAACATGCAAATATTACATGTGAAAAGCTGTGTATAGCCTTGGAAATGCATGCATGTACATTCATTCTTCAAATGAGACTCCCACTATTTTATGATGATGATATGTGAGAGAAGGGGAAGAAACACGTGGAGTCTCATTTGAAGAATGCCCACTATTTTATGATGATGATGTGAGAGAGAAGGGAAGTAACACGTGGAGTCTCATTTGAAGAATGCCCACTATTTTATGATGATGATATGAGAGAGAGGGGAAGAAATAATCATTTATTTATGTCTATTCACCTTTATTGTTAAGAAACGAGATTTGTTAGCTAGCCCTAATGCTGAATAAATTTCTGCTGGTCCAGTTTCTTTTTTTTAAGGTATGTTTTTGAACTAATATCTCTTAGGTCCTGAGGGTCCTAATATCATTTTGGATGATTCAGTTTTTGAATCTTTACATTTTCCACTTTCTCCTAATATTTAGATTTGCTAATGTTTTTAGAAATTAACTAATTTTTAGCAGAACTCTACAGATGGGCTTACACCTCTCCAGCAGGGTCACATCATTAGACAAAGTGATATGAATTTCTAGCTGTTGACATATTCAATATTTGTATGAGTAAAAGAGTTAGTATATGTTTATGATATTTTAACATTCATATAATTTTGAAAAATTATAAGATTACCTGTCTAAAGATATATTCTAAACTAGTTTTGGAGGGACTTTTCAGTGAAGTGATCTTCTTCTACTTATTTTACTTCTCAAGCTGTTGACTATCAATTTGATTTATTTTTTTTGGAGTGGGGTTCTCCATGTGGTCTTGTAATTTGAACAAACATCAGTTTTCTGACATGTAAACTATGCTTGCAGTCTTCCTTAGTTGTGACTGTGTTACAGGGTACTTTAACCCCCCACCCATCCTAATTTTTTAATCTGATGATGGAGAAGCATGCCAGCAGGAGCTGATTATAGTTGTAAGAATGTTGGCATACTTCTGATAGTTGCTTTTTTTGAACAACCAGCAAGTCGTTTTTGTTCTACATCACCTCCCTCCTCTACTTCTCATCGACATTAGCTACTTTTTTTTTCATTCCTTTCAACCCTACCCAGTATAGTTTGGAGACTTGTAATAGATCTGTTTTATTTAATCTTTTCCTGGAGACACCTCAGTTTTAATTGGAATGAACAAACTTGACCAAAATTCAGCTGTGCTGTCCATTGTTGTCACTTCCATGAAAAAGGCTAACACAGCTACCCTGAAACTTAGCCATATTTCTTGACTAGTGTCAGGTTGTTAAAAAACAGAGAAACACTGTGTAATATCAACTAACACCAGTTATGTTAATTTTGTGAGTATGAAGCAGCTATTACCAAATATCACATAAATATCTCTTCATGAAACTGTTTTTGTTAGTGTGGAAAGTTAGGCCCTTTCTGTTCTCTTAATATTACGATCAACAAATCATCTTAACTTTGTGAAAATTGAACATTCATCACCACGTAGATATCTTTTATTGAAACTCTGCTCACTAGGTTGGAAATTAAAGAGCACATAGCTTTTTGGTCCCATTAATCTTGTGATTAACACACCGTTCTAACTTTAATAGTTAAACAGCAATCACAGAATTTAACGTTTATATTTCATCCTGAACTGCCACTTCATGTCACTTTCTTTAAGTCACTGATCTTACAGTCAGTGACTGTCATAACTGCTGGTAACTCATCAAGATCAGGAGGTTATTTTTGGTGTCTCAGCCAAACCTTGGAGTTGTGATGCTGCTTCTACTTAAACAAATGCTTGATGTAGTCCATCTCAGAATCATAAAGATTCAGCATTAAACATAGCACTGCTTACCCTTAAATCCATTTACTCCAGACAGTGACCTGTGTGAAATGCTTATGGTACTGGTCCAGACCTGTCTTAGCCAGGGAACTCTGAAGGAGGAATATATCTTTCTCCTACAGGTTCTTGGCCAACACCATACTGAGA